TGGTTGCTTGAGAGGTTGAGAACATGATTTTACAAAACTACTAGACCTTCAAAAACTAGTAGTGCTCAAAGATTGCCCTATCTTTAATGTTAGTTCACTAAAGCATTTGAGATCTGAAAAATCTTCTAGTAAATTTAAAAGACTGCAAGTTTCTCAGGGTTCTTCTAAGAAGTATCTCTACAAGTTAAAATCCTTAAAAAGTCTTATTCTTTCTGGCTGTTTAATGATTGACCATGTAGGATAAGATTTTGAGCAGAACGAGTCGTTGAATAAGAGATAATACTACCATGACACACACAAGTACCATTTTCATTAGCAAGGTTAGATTGGAAGGGCTTGTGCATGGATATATATATATATGTTTGTGCAGCCATGAAGGAAGAGAACCAGATATATTTCATTCACTCATATGGTTTTAGATGTCACCCACTAATATTAATTCAATTGCATCAATAGTTTTGCCAGCTGTATAGAATTATAGGTTTCATGACCTATCTCTACTTCTAGGCCAAGTTCCAAATCTTCCAAGTATGTGGAATGAATGCCAACCTGAGTTTAATTTTGATCAAGTGTAATGCCAAAACATTTTGATTTCTAGTACAAGACAAATTTTATGGAATTTGAATAAACAATAAGTCAGTAGCTAAATTACATTATAGATCTCTTACATGGAAGCTCCTCTGCTAACGGATGGTTATAATCAAGTTCACACATTGTAAGACTAGCACACATTCCTTCAATTTTATGTGTGTGTGTGTGTAGTGCATGGAGCATTTGACGTGACGGACCTGTCTCACGTCAAGTTGAGAGAATTTAATAGAAGTTTATACTAATTTGGATTGAGTTGAGACCTTTTGTTAAGTACTAGTATAACTTTCTTATCATTAAACCATTTGTTTCTGATGGTACCTTCTATTCTCTTTTAATTCAAGTAAGAGCGCGCCACAAAGCATTTTAGTCTTACTCGAACAAATAATTCTACAGGTTTGTCTCTTCTTTTTCCTACTCCCCACAAGTCTTAAAACATGATTTTTGTCAATGATGATAGCGATGTTTCTTTTATAGATGAAAAAGATACAGTTTACTCTTGGTATATTCAATGTAATTATGATTTTGAAAATGCATTTTTAAAATGCTTTATTGGACATTGGGGTAGTTATATAGTTGCTCAAAATTTGATCCCTTATGTGGTGGACTATATAAAACTATGTGGTTGCAATTAGCATGAAATTATGTGAGAAAATTATGACCACATGATTTTTTGTTGTCTTGACTAGAGAACCTGTTATGCCTCTTGACTTACATACTGAATTTGGAAGGAATTTTCCTAAAGTTGTTTTATGGTATTACTCAAGAGACTATCTTATTTACAAGTCCTGCCAGACACCTCATTAATGATCAGCCTATCATACTATTAATTGCATTTAATAAAAATTCTAGTCACCTTAGAGATCTATATATTGAAATTTGAAATACAAGTTAGTGTGACAGAAGGCATTTATTCATACACGTGATATAGGGTCCATTTTAATACAACATCGAAAAGCAAAAAGTATTTTTCAATGGGTTCACTTTAGGAAACTCAGTTTGGTTTAAAAGTGCTCATTACAAAAATCCACTTGTAACTTTCCAAATTTTAAAACCGATTTTTCACATATTAATAGTTTAATAAACAATTTTAATAACATTGAATGCTTACTATGATATATAGAAAAAGATCTATCATGATAATAAAAAATAGCAGTTCCTTTTAAAATATTACCATGGTAGAAAAAGAGTTTTCCTTATAATAAAAACTTTTCACAAATAATTAATCATAATAAAAAGAATTAAACATAATAAATTTACTTTACCATGGTAATTAAGAAAACAATTACTTTATATTGTACCTAATAGAAATGTCATTTTATAAAGAATATTCATTGAGATCCCAATTCAAAGCTAACATTTAAAATCTGTTAATCATTTTAAAATCACAAATGAAATAAGAAGTATGGTTTCCAAGGTGACAAGTTTCAAAACAACATAATACCATTAAAGCATTTATCCACAAAGTGCCTTAAATGTACGCCCCTATCACAATTACAAGTCCTTCATCAAGTAACCAACACTTTACAAACTTTATTTTTACTACCAATACCCAACTTAAGCCTAAACAACACTTTTTCAAGTACTGATTATCACCTAAAAAAAAACTATCACATGAGGGTATACTTGATGACAATATTACTTCACAAATACTACAAACAAGTATACATTCCCAAAACATGCATCATTGCATAATTATACATTCATATAATCTTCTAAGACCATGAGAGGTAGATAGGAGTCTCATGGTCAACATGTATAATATTTCGTCAACATATCATATCAAATCTATGGCCATGAGAGGCAAATAGAAGTCTTATGACCAGCAATTAACCAATATAGATGCAATTCACCAAAATTAGAGCTTACAATAGCAGCAGCAATGACAACAATAATAAATATTATCCTACTGGGTGAAGTCGGCTACATAGATGTCATTATACATTATCATTTAACAAGCTTTTAGGAATGTTGTTAATTAAGATGTCTCAGTCAATAATTTGCATAAGTGTTCTTTTTTTCCTTTCTCTATCCCTTTTAATAGGGTTCAAAATTATCTATTACACTCTTCTCATTAGTTCTTCTCATGATTTTCTTTATACATGTCCAAACAATCTCAAAATTACAGTCTACATGCTCCACAAAATATATCTATCCTAGGTTGGCAGATTAGACGTTGCATAATCAAAATGAAGAGTAGTATCAAAAAATAGTGTCTTATACACCAAATTACGGCTCAGGTGCTTCCCTAGCCAAACTTGTTCCTATAAAAATTAGTAACCATGGGATATGAACCTTAAAAGTCTTGGTAACCAAGGTTAATATATAATAATGGATGTGAGGCAATTAATCATACGATTGCTAGGTGGGCATATAATTATTGATTTTTCAAGCATATGATATTCAATCAGCCAAACAAAAATAGTTTATGCATGACATCACCTTATATCCCTCCATACTTTGTGTAAGGAATTGAGTCACCCGGTCAAAGGTGGATTGGGCTAAGCTAATAGCCGTTCATTGGGTTCAATGAGGGCTTACCACGTGATACGGTTAACTCCAGACAAAATCCCAACAATTGGGGTGAAGCCAGAAAGTTTTATCAAGGGGCTGAAATGATAAAACATATATAATAAAAAAATTAAATCTATATATATATATATATATCACTAACATAACATAAATATTTCAACCTATATATTTATATTCAATTTTACATATATATATATATATATATATATATATAACAAAAATAAATATATATCTTCATTTTTTTCAATTTTGCTTATTAATTTTTCATGATATAAAAATAATTAATTATCATATTTATGATACATTTTTTAAAAATTTCTTTCTCAATATAAACTATCAGTAAATTGATGAATATTTCATCTTTCTTATAAGCATTGACTAATTTAATACATCCTTGGAATATAAAGTTCTATTCAATATATATAAAAAAAACTCTACTACTTGCTTATTGAATTTAATATTTAATTCTTTTAATTGATATATTCTTCATTCAATATATCTTGGGATTTGTATTACAATGCTTTATAAAGTTTGTTAATAATAATTATTATAATTTCTTTCATCAAATATAAAATGAAAGCAAAATCAAATTATATTAATGCTTTAAGAGAAACTATAACATTATCTTATTAAAAATAAGTAATTCTTATAACAACTATATCTTCAAACTATTATAACAATTGGACTATACATGCAAAAAATATTACTATAGAATTGAAATGAAAATTTCATCTAGTGTCTCAAGGCTTCTATAATGTATCAATTTAAGAGCTAAAAATAAATAACCTTATATTTTATTAAGAAAAATTAAAAAGTTTGGGAGCCATGGCACCTACTGATCCTCCAGTCTCAATCCTTGTCCAACAACATAATAATTCAAAACATCACAACAAGTCATGTATATTTTAAAGCAACCAAACAAAAGCATTATGCTTGTCGTTACATCAACTGGACAAAAGCATAACCAGGCAGTTTATCCCATGCTTTCAATAATGCTTATAGCTAGCAACTACAAGTCAAACCCACTTGGCAATTATTTTTGAACAAAAATATATTATTTCTCAACAAATTATAATTTTTAAACAATAAATCAAACACATAATCAACCACACACACTACCACATATTAATAATGATTACCTTATATCTTGAATAACAAACTCCCTTTCACAACTCCTCTTTTATCACTTTTTTTATCAACACAATCTACACAATTATTTCATAATACTAAATATTAATTTCACATTGAAATTAATAAAAAGAAACTCTAATTTAAAGAGCTAGAAAGCTTGGGCCTCAGATTCATATTAACACAAATTCAAAATTAATACCATATTTAACTTTCCCAAATTCTTTTCTAAAATTCTCATACCCTAATAAAATAATATTTAAACCTCAAATCACTCCTACTATCACAATTTCATCAATACATATTTCAAAAATTTGTTCAAAAATAAATTAAAAATTAAGATATTATCCTTTTTTCGCATTGATATTGATAAAGTTGATAAAAATAACTTATAAAAAATATCAATAGAGTATTTAGTGCTACATCTAGCTATAAAAGATACGTAAATCAAACTAATTCAGAAGTGACGCATAAACATGTACTAGTTATGCATGACATTTTTGTGTCTCTCATGAATGGTGATCCCTCAACTACACGGGCTGTTCTCGGAAAATAGTGTGAAATTGAAGATGAAACTGCTGAGGCACTAGAGATTGAGCAGCCAATGCAGGCTTGTTCAATCTGAGAGAACTGGTCCAACAAAGACAATTCCACTGCTTCCACAATTGCAAGATGAAATTGTGGAAAAACACGCTGTTGCAATTCCTCCATTGTACCAGACAGAATCAAAACGGTATCGTAGATTTTTAAGATTCAAAAATGGATCACTTGATATACACAAGACAATAGTGATTTCATACAATTACTATTAGCATCATTGGGCATTTGGTCTCACCTGCCTCCTATGGTTACAAGCAAGGTTATAAACATAATTACAAAACTGATATAGGGTGAATTCTGGACCACATTAATCGTATAGCAGGAAGCCATAACAGCTGAATCTTCTGTTTTCTGAGCCGCAATCTCCAAATTCAATGACCATTGCATAATGACTACAGAAAGTCGCAAGCTTTACATTCAACCATGTCATTTAATACTCACTGGTATCTCAATGAATGATTGAGTTCTGGTGCCTGAGCTTCCTGGCATTCCTTATAATTGGAGGTTCACAAATTTCTGTTTTTCGTTGAAAGGAAAACAATATCCATCGGTCACCTTGGCGGTCTCTCCAGTGCAGTCCAACCAAACTTGCCTTTACGAAAATCTGCCAGAATGCGGAATGCTGCCTGATGAACATCACCGTTAAATACATTAAGTGCAAGCTTTTCTACAAGCCTGCAAAGTACATGATACTGAATTAGAAAAAATTATTTCAAGGACGAAGATGCATTCAAAAGATCAAATACTAGAACCCTATCCAACGCTGCAAGAACCATTTCGACATACATTTTACCAGAGAGACCATCTGCATCAATCCTGTACCGTTTTCGGAGAGCATCTGCACCTGGATTGTTCAAAGGATTGAGAATTCCATGTTGTCATCATGAAAGAGGTTGAAATATTTTAGTCAAGTTCGAAGACCCCAAATCTTGATTAGTTTATATTATAAATTTAAAGCATGAATGTTGTAAAACTACTATGGACAACGAAAAATGATAGGATGGTTATTGTTTGGCCAAATTAAATGACACGCACCAACTGGAGGAAGCCTTGTGAGCATCTGTACAAGAATTGCAGCAACATCAGCAACATCATAGGATCTCTCCCCAATATCATCACATATGGCAAGTTTTATTGCAGCTGACTGATCACTGATTCGCATTGGAAGTATCCCAGGAGAGTCCAACAACTCAAGATCTTTTCCAAAACGTACCCACCTTTTTCATTAAGAAAGATGCATGATAAAACCATGCACTCATGCAGTACCAAGTATGTGTGATGAAATATCCACAATATTTTTCTTGTTTCAGACTAACAGTTAACATTCAAAATTTGGGATATAAGATTGCTGGAAAATGACTTGGTTTTTGGTATATCTAGCACCTTCCTCTACTGGGAAGAAAGCAAACCGCACAAGCTGTACCCCCTTCATCCTTGGAATATAAATCTGAGTTCTATAATGCAAATTAGAATCCTAATTGCACCCAATAAGTTCTAATTCAAATTATCCTCCTAATTATTTCGATTCAAATATATTTTGCAGCCACCTCAGGCTTTTAAATTTTTAATGGGAAAACAACAATAAATGCACAAACATTTAAATCGTTTCAAAATATCTGACACTTGCAACCTCTGGATAAAAAATAATTGATGGAATCAATTTTTTTTTTTTTTTGGGAGAATGTAAGGGGGGAGAATGTTACCTCAATTCTCTAGTGACACCTGGTCTGGGAGCTGCTAGACACATTTTTCGCTTTAACAAACGGTTAATTAAAGATGATTTTCCAACATTAGGATATCCAACTATTCCAGCTCGTACCTGTTAATCTCAGAAGTAAGAATGTCAACCACAATGAATTTTCCTTTAACAAAACACATCCATGACTGCAAAATACAATTATATAGTAAAATATCATTTGCGCTAATAGTTTGTAAAATAAAAATTGGGCTAGAAAAATGAACAGAATCACAAAATGACATGAACTGTAAAGAGCCATACAAAGACCAGGGAAACTGAGTGGCAACATAATAAGAAACGGAACAATGTACATGGAGATGAAGCTGCTCAAATCAATCAGAAAATATGAATTTCACGAAATGAAATCATTTACTGGATCATCTTATTTGGTCAAATATATACTCCTCTTGCCAGATTATATGATAAATAAAGTGATTAGATCAATCTCTATAGAAAAATAAAAAAGATAAAAGGAATTGGAATTGTTTTTCAATTGGTAGGAGCAGCGTACTGGTCGAGAGAGTAGTCCTTTGGCTCTACGTTTGACATTTACATCAGCTGCCAATGTCTTTGCTAACCTGCCTAGCTTCATTGTGCCCTGTAATTTCCACATTGTGCTAAACAAACCACACCAGAAACTTTCAAACCAAGGAAAGATGGAATATATATATATATATATATATGGTGTATACCATTCCAAGTTGTCCGTTGGAGAAAACAACCTTTATGCCCTGCTTAGCAAAATATGTCGCCCAAGCATTGCGGTCTGCAGTTGATATCATGTCTTCTCTATTTAAAACCAAAATTCTCTTCTTGTTACCAAGCCATAAATCCATCTGCCAAGACAAAAGTAGTGATCAGACCAAGAGTTAGGGGAATGAAGTCTCAATGATAATTAACAACAGTAAACAATAGAATAAAAAAGCCAGGAGCAAGAATGGAGAATTGAAATGGCAGCATGAATATCTTCAACCAAGCCACATGATGAAAAATTTAGCTTTTAAGGCTTCAAATAAGCAAAGACAACAGGAAAAGAGAAGAAGGCTCAACCAATTACCGATTGAACTGAGACACAAGCAGAACATATAATTTACAAAAAAAAAAAAAAGCTAAATAATACTTGCCTGTGGATGACTTGTGGACATGGGAATTCGAGCATCGCGCACTTCTATCACAACATCCATCAATTTGAGCTGCTCCTTAAGTTCTTTTTCAGCTTTTGCAATATGACCGGGAAACCACTGCCAATAACCAAGAAGAATCAGCATATTAAGTAGGAATTTAGGATCTCACCAGGTTGGCACAAAGCCACATACATACCTGCACTGGCCGTACTGCCTTTGTCCAGTAATAAAGATCAGTGTCAAGATCAGTCCAAGTGCTCTCCCCTTGATCACCATGGAATGTGTTGGAATTGGCAAATCCATTTTCTTGCCAGCTAGAACTTTTCACACCAATTATCTACAACGTTCCAAATCATTATAAACATTCAATGACTAGCTTGAATTTGGAAACTAGAGTAAGTCAATCGTTCAAACCCCATATTTCTGCATGGCAAATAAATTTTGGGTGCGAGTTTCATGGCAATACTAGGAAATACTCAAAATGCTTTCGTAGTACTAAAAAAATGTGATATTTTCATTTATATATTGACAAATAAGCAATTACTGTCTAAGTTTAGACCCCAGCTCAACCATTACTGTAAAATAAATCCAAATCCTATGGCTTTGCTCCTGTACTATGAGAGTACCAAAAGATGTCAAAGTTTTTCTTCAATATGCATCCATAAAAGATCAACAACACTCTTTTCACACTAGTTTTACACTAACCAAAAAAAAAAAAAAAACCATTATACTTCTTGAGGCACCATGTTCAGTTTTCCTGGAAACTGAAGGATGGGCGAACAATGAACAGTACAACAACCAGAAGTAACTCCATAAGAAAACAAATACAAGATCTTTAGGAATGGTGAGGTGATTGAAACATGCCTGTATGGTGGGAGATTGAGATGAGAGGGTTGCTGAGGGTGTAAGAGTGGATGGGCATATTCGGCGTCCACCTGGCACAAATCTCTCAGGTACTGTCGGAGCCTTGGACAACCATGAGACAGATAGCTGAGCAGTCATCACGCTGCTGCTCTTGTCAATTGTTTCTTCCTCCTGGTCTGCCTTCTATGAATCCTTTGCTCCTTGCTCACCCGATAGATTTTTGTTGAGATAATTCTTAAGGGCAAACTTTGGCCTTGGACAATACTAACAAAGTAGCAACCCAAATGTCAAAAAATATGTTAGATTCACTAGAGTCCAACTGTCCAAGTAATATCATACACTTGAGGGAATTGGATTTGGTTGAATTTTTTTTATTAGATATCAGAAATTAAAAATATATATAATACCTTTACATATATATATAAAAATCATCTGGAGATTACATGCGTTACTGATGAAATAAAAACTAAAAATCTAGTGATAATTTCAAGACTAAGGGTGACCATCAGTTCAGTGACAAATTTCTCCAAAATCAATAGATCGAATTACACAAAAAATTTGAAATGAATCGAACCGAAATACTTGATCAAAATAAATTATAACAGTTCAGTTCAGTCTGTCTATTCAACTAATGGGCTCTGATTTAGGATAATAGAGCTTGATTGTGTCCATATTCTTCTGTCCATTTTTTTTTCCTTCCCTACTGTTAAAGACCCAAACAAAAATAGTCATTATATTCCATAATTCACCAGAAAGCTAATAAAAACTAGTACTACTGCGCAAAACAGAAACAAAACAACATATAAAACAAAAATACTACTACGGCATCCATAACTCTACTTCCACAATCCATCACAAAACCATCCATAATGATACTACAAAATCCATAATAAAAAACCAACAGCATTACAACATCCACTCCATTAATCCATAACACCACCACTAAATGTGGAGTTTTGCTTCTTATTTTTTTCCCCTTATCATCGTTAGTTTGATTTAGGTTGTAGCCATAGCTTCACGTTGAGAACTGAGAAGATATCTGATTGCATAAAATCAACAATCAGAACGAAAGACGGAAAATGGAACCTAGTTTCAACAAATTATGGATTTGATATGGAACTAATTGAAAATGAAACCCAGTTTCAACAATAAACTCTAAAATCACAAATCCAAACCAGTGGCTTGTTAATGAAACCCAGTTTCAGCAATCATTTCTTACGTAATAAGCAGAGAAGATGTGTAAAGAGCAGAGCAGCAAAAGAAAAATGAAAAAGAAAACAGGGAGGGAAAAAATGGAACCAGAAATTTAATACTGATTGTGTAATGAGCAGAACAGAAAACAGAAAATGGAAAAGTAAAGAAGGAGAAAATGGAAAGATGTTTCTTACTCCCCAGACGAGAGGTAGAGCAGATAGAGAGACTGAGCGTGAGTCTGTGAGAGCCGAAGCTGTGACGGCAACGAAATTGAGTCTGCGAGAAGCAACGGCAGCGACGGAGTGCTAGAGCTGAAGCACGACGTCGACGAGGGAGAGAGCGCGAGATGGAGAAAGGGAGGCAACGAGGAAGTGCGACTGTGCAGGAGAGGACGACCCCGTAGATTAAAAGTTTTTTAAAAAAATTATAAAGATAATTCATATTTATTAAAAGGGTAACTTACAAATGATTCTCAAATGTAAAAATCTTATTTACAAGTAAATCTTATAAATTTGTGAAAATGCTCAAAGATTTCATGAAATTTATTTATAATTAATTTATTATGTAAAATGATACAAATGTTCTTACACTCACACGCATTTGACTTCTGTTGACTAACCATCGGTCAAAAAGATTTTTGCAAAAAATATTAAATTATTCACATTTTAATGTCTACAAATCAAACATAACAAAATTACAAGTAAATCTTTAAGATTTACAACTCACACTTCTTATATTTATAAGTCAACATCTTACAATGTTATCATGTTAATATTTACATATTAACTTTGTAGGATTATGAGTTAAACTTTACACATTTACAAATTAAACATCTTAATCTTAAATTTATACTTTAACATTAACAATCAATATTACAATTTTAAAGTCAACATGTTAGTTGGTCAAAAAAAGTCAACATGATAGATTTAAGGGTGAATTTACATGATTTTTCTAATGGTTATTTAAATTTTACAAATTAATTTACAAGTCCCAGTTCATCTAGTAAACATTTTGACAGTTTAAATGGATGTGTAAAATATTTAGACTTTTTAGTATATTTTTTAATGGAGTCATGGTAAATCATGTAGAATACAATAATATTAAGTAATATACATTTTGTTTATTTGATAACATTGGGGTATACTCCAATGCCTTAGATTGCTTCACATGTTTTCACTTTGACTCAACCAATTTGCTGTTTTGATCTACTTCTCTCTCTTTTATTTTGATTTTATTCTCTCGACTTTGGCCACCATTATGGTCTTCTTGAGAGTATTTGAGAGCTTTAGATGTACTAGGACATAAATTTTGATGGAGATTGAGCTTGAATTTGAAGATTGAAAAACATCTTTGCTTCATATCTTGGTTTTTCTTTTCCACTCTCCTTCCTTTCCTTTTATTCAACGTTTTTCCTGATATATTTGTATTTTTTCATGGGTTTTATAAACATTTATGGTTAAACCATTGTTTTTATGATTATTTTGAATTATTTGTATGGATTAAATACTCATTCCCTCTTTGTATTTGTGATTAATGATATAATATAATTATTTTGATTTTACTCCATATATAGTACTTCTAGTTAATTAGCCATCAGTTAGATTGTTAGATTCACTTGATTAATACTTAAGAGAAAGCTGGTTAAGTGTAGAACTTGAATTAAATTGTGTGAGAACTTAAAGTTTGTAAGTTAAATGGATGATTTTGTTAATGAGGTAGAGATGCACTCATTAACCTCACATAGTCATATAGGATTTGCAAGGAAAATTAAAATTTAATTAGTTAATTAAGAGATTAAGGGATTAATTTAACTAAACACCTACTTGAAGACTTGAGAGAGCACTTGTGGGTAATTTAATATCCATGACTAGTACAATTTACCATTAAGAGAAAAATAGATTGGGAATTGATTGAGTATTATTGAAGTATAAAAGGAGATAAATAATCATAAACCTAATTACTTTCACTTGAATCATTTTTTTCTTTGTTTTCATACTTTTTCACTCATTACACCAATCACAATTTGTATTTGCTCAACTTAATTGAATTCACAATGTCTTTTATTTGACCATATTTTTAACACAAATTTCTATGGAAATGATAATGTACTCACACTTTATTACTTATTTTGACCCATATACTTGTGAAGAGCAAAACAAAGATGAAAATGAAATTGAAGATGTGGTTTAAAAATATGTTTAGTATAATCATGGAAATCATATATAATTTTTAGGGAAACCAACAATTAAGGATCCCATAAGATCATTAATTATAAATAGGGATTCTAAATTATTGAAATCTCAATAATAGATCATGATCCTTAATTGGAATTAAAAACATGAGTACACAAATTTGTCTTTAAGTAATGAAATTATTATTATAAGTTGAGACTATTATTAATTTTAATTAAAAAAACCAAGATAATACTATTATGGGTTGGATTAGGGCCAGCCCACTAAATAAACGAACTGTGAAAACCTAACCCAACTAGTTGACTAATAAGCTGGCCAACCTGCAAGCTAGCTTGCAAAATAAGTCCAGCGAAAATATAAGTCTACACTTATTTATAGGTCTCACAAGGCAGATTTATTTAAAAATAAATCCTGTAAAGTTTAAGTTAAGTCTCTTGAAACCTGAATGTAATTTAAAATTGGGATACAAAGACAATGATACCTCTATCAAAAATACATTAATTCAATCAAATAATTTATAATTATTTTATCAGCAATTTACAACTATCATTTCGACTTCTTACAACTATAATTTCACATATTTAATAGGCTAAATTTAAACTAATTATACGTTATTAATAAAGTTTATTAATTATAACTACTTCATTAGTAATTTACAACTATCACTTCAATTTTTACAATAATAACTTTATATATTCAATAGTTAAAATGTATAGGAATTATTAGAATCCACACTTAGAGATAAGATTAACAATAGTATCAATCCATAATAATAATTTTAGTGATGACTGAGTGTGATGTGTAGCATCATCAGTTCTTAAATTCTTAAGTAGCATTTAGGCTTATATATATAGGAATTACCAAAATACACACTTGGAGAAAGGATTAACAATAGTCTCAATCCATAAAACTCCCTCCATCCTAAATTATAAGATATTTTTAGAAAAAATTCAACATTTCAAAATATAAGATACTTTAATAAAAGTAAGGTTTCATTAATGATACTTTTTTAATATTATCATTCTCATATATTCTCTCTCTTCAATATTATTTCATCAATAGAGCATCAAATGAAGGACATTTTTGAAATTTTATATTTTTATCTTGAAAAAGTAAAGTTGTAAAATGTATTTAATAATTTTTATTGGCATGTGAAATTTTATCTAAAAGTATCTATTATTTGAAATAGAGGGAGTAGTATTTTTTGTGGTCCAACTTATAACACTTAGGATCTTGATTTTCTCAATTGAGATTAACAATAATCCCAATTTAAAAAAGAAAAAACAAAAAAATAATAATCCCAATCCAAAAAGAAAAAACAAAAAAAACAATAATTTTAATCCATGGTAGTACTTTTAGTCATGTTTTTTCTTTTCTTGATTTTTCAATTAGTTTTCCTATATATTAATAAGCATAAAAATTCGTAAGTTATTGGTTTTTATATTTAGAAGTGAGTTTGGTAAAGTTTCAAATGATTATTGTATATTTATAAGTGTTTTTTAAAAATTTCATAAGTGAATTTTAGTTTCATACTAAAAAACAACTCATTATCAGATGTAAATCTTGATTTTTTTTAACTAAAATTAATAATAGTTTCAATTCATTATAGTAATTTTAGCATAATGTCTTTTTTTATTTTCCCAAAGAGAGCAATTTTGTATACTCATATGTTTTTAATTCTAGATAAAAATCATGGTCAATTATAGGGATTTCAATAATTCAAGGTCACTAATAGTGATTAATGATCTTATGATATTCTTTATTGTCATTTTCCCTAATTTTTAATATATACACTCAATAACCAAATAAATATTATCAGCAAACCCAGAACAACATCCACTCTTCTCATTGGAACCATCATCATCCACTACTAAAACATTTACACCATCAATCTTCCAGTTTACTACCATCAGAACAACAATCAACCTTCCAGAAACCACCATCGAGATCAAAGGGCAGAGATCAACAATTAACCATTCAAAATCATCATCCACTTTTAGAAATCAAGGGGCAAAAATCAAAATCGAACCCTTTACACACAATACTGCCTCTTCTAGAAATCAAGGTACGTAATGGGAATGCAGAAGCGGAGATTGTGTTTTGGATTTCAAAATAAGAGGGGCATAATACTACTTAAATGGGGGGTACAATGGATATCTTGGTATCAACTCCGTATAAGCATGAAAATTCCATGCATGTTTCCCTTTTTAGAAGCCTAATTCAACAATACCAAATATGCAACGACATCCATTTCAATTTCATTAATTTCTATTTCCATCCTCAAAATTTTCGAGTTCCAAACAAGGTACTTTCTTAATATCAAATTATAATACATTTTAAATAAAATTACACATATCAATAAAATTTATTAAATACAATTTATAACTTTATTTTTTCAAAACAAAAATATAAATTTTTAAAAATATTATTTATTTAATACTCTATTTATAAAAGAACGTTAAAGAGAGATAATATAATGAAAAAAATAATATAATAAAAATATTACTATTGAAATATTATTTTGCATGATGTCTTGGACAAGAGTTCAACATGGGCGAGCATGTGTGTGTGTGTGTGTTTTTTTTTTTTTTAAAGGATATGTGTATATATATGTTTAAGAATGTGAAAAAGACACTATCATTAATCAAATGATGAGAAGCAAGACAATCACAAAAGGAGGTCAGCAATCTTTCAAGATCCTCAAATCTCCATTCCTCACACGACAAAAGGAAGGGTAATCAAAGACACACAAAATAATATATCCAGGTAATAAGCCAGTCTAGTTACGTTGTTTGTATCAAATGAATGAAAATATTTCACTCTCTATTCAAAAGATAGCTACAACAATAATATATTGAAAAGGGTGGTCCTGGTTTAAGATTGAAAGAAGGGACTTTCTTTTTCTCTCCACTTCCCTCATCTCCACCTTTCATATATTATTTTGTTAAATAATCTTTTTTAAAAGATAGAATTAATGAAAGGTGAAGATGGGAGAAATGGATAGAAATGAAAGAAAAAAAGGAGAGTCTCTCTTCCTCTTAAGATCTCTAGTAATTAAATTTATGGGCTTCACACAATAACTATACACTTTCCCATGCTTCAATACAAGCGTCCATCATAATTCTAGACATTTTGTAATACTCCCTTTGTTTTTTATTATAAACAAAAACTGTTATATGTCTCATTTATTAAGTCATC